CTGGAAGGGCCAAAAGTGAGGTTGGAATGGCCTGGAAGGGCCAAAAGTGAGGTTGGAGCGGCCTGGAAGGGCCAAAAGTGAGGTTGGAGTGGTAAAAAGTGAGATTGGAATGGCCTGGAAGGGCCAAAAGTGAGGTTGGAATGGTAAAAAGTGAGATTGGAACGGCCTGGAAGGGCCAGAAGTCAGGTTGGAAGGGCCAAAAGTGAGGTTGGAGTGGCCTGGAATGGCCAGAAGTGAGGTTGGAAGGGTCAGAAGTGAGATTGGAATGGTCTGGAAGGGCCAGAAGTCAGGTTGGAATGGCTTGGAAGGGCCAAAAGTGAGGTTGGAGCGGCCTGGAAGGGCCAAAAGTGAGATTGGAGTGGTAAAAAGTGAGACTGGAATGGCCTGGAAGGGCCAGAAGTGAGGTTGGAATGGCCTGGAAGGGCCAGAGAGCGCCAGGAGGGAGATTGGAGCGGCCTGGAAGGGCCAGAAGTCAGGTTGGAGTGGTAAAAAGTGAGATTGGAGTGGCCTGGAAGGGCCAAAAGTGAGGTTGGAATGGTCTGGAAGGGCCAAAAGTGAGGTTGGAGTGGCCTGGAAGGGCCAAAAGTGAGGTTGGAGTGGTAAAAAGTGAGATTGGAGTGGCCTGGAAGGGCCAAAAGTGAGGTTGGAATGGCCTGGAAGGGCCAAAAGTGAGATTGGAGCGGCCTGGAAGGGCCAAAAGTGAGGTTGGAGTGGTAAAAAGTGAGATTGGAACGGCCTGGAAGGGCCAGAAGTGAGATTGGAAGGGTCAGAAGTGAGGTTGGAATGGTAAAAAGTGAGACTGGAATGGCCTGGAAGGGCCAGAAGTGAGATTGGAATGGCCTGGAATGGCCAGAAGTGAGGTTGGAAGGGTCAGAAGTGAGATTGGAACGGCCTGGAAGGGCCAGAAGTCAGGTTGGAGTGGCCTGGAAGGGCCAAAAGTGAGATTGGAATGGTCTGGAAGGGCCAGAAGTCAGGTTGGAATGGCCTGGAAGGGCCAGAAGTGAGATTGGAATGGTCTGGAAGGGCCAGAAGTGAGGTTGGAGTGGCCTGGAAGGGCCAGAGAGCACCAGGAGGGAGATTGCAGCGGCCTGGAAGGGCCAGAAGTCAGGTTGGAGTGGTAAAAAGTGAGATTGGAGTGGCCTGGAAGGGCCAAAAGTGAGATTGGAATGGCCTGGAATGGCCAGAAGTGAGGTTGGAAGGGTCAGAAGTGAGATTGGAATGGTCTGGAAGGGCCAGAAGTCAGGTTGGAATGGTCTGGAAGGGCCAGAGAGCACCAGGAGGGAGATTGGAGCGGCCTGGAAGGGCCAGAAGTCAGGTTGGAGTGGCCTGGAAAGGCCAAAAGTGAGGTTGGAGTGGTAAAAAGTGAGATTGGAATGGCCTGGAAGGGCCAGAAGTGAGGTTGGAATGGCCTGGAAGGGCCAAAAGTGAGGTTGGAGTGGCCTGGAAGGGCCAAAAGTGAGGTTGGAAGGGCCAGAAGTGAGGTTGGAATGGCCTGGAAGGGCCAAAAGTAAGATTGGAATGGTAAAAAGTGAGATTGGAATGGCCTGGAAGGGCCAGAAGTCAGATTGGAATGGTCTGTAAGGGTCAAAAGTGAGATTGGAATGGTTTGGAAGGGCCAGAAGTCAGATTGGAATGGCCTGGAAGGGCCAGAAATGATTTAGGGCTGGGCTGGAAATGCCAGAAATGAGATTGAAGTGGCCAAAAGTGAGCCTGAAATGGCCTGGAGTGGCCAAAAATTGAGATTGAAGTGGCCTGGAGTGGCAAAAAATGAGATTGAAGTGGTTTGGAAGGGCCAAAAATGAGATTGAAACGGCTTGAAAGGGCCAAAAGTGAGATTTAAACAGCTTGGAAGGGCCAGAGATGAGATTGAAATGGCTTGGAATGGCCAAAAATTGCTTTAAACCAGGCTGAAAGTGACAAAAATAAGAGGAAAATGGCTTAAAAGGGACAGAACTGGGGAAAAACCACAGGCTGAAGACAGCCAGGAATGAGTTCTATAAAATGCAACCAGAAGTGATAAAAATGAGTTAGAACCTGCCTGAAAGCAGCCAAAAATGAGTTAAAATAGACCTGAAAATGCCAAAAGCAGCCTGGAAGTTGGAAAAGTGAGATAAAACCTGACCAGAAGGGTTGAGAGTGAGGTAAAAATGTCCCGAAAGTGCCAAAAATCAGTTTAAAACAGCCTGAAAGTGCCAAAGGGGAGAGGAACTGGCCCAAATCCAGCAAAAGGAGCGAAAGGCAGCGCAAAAACCACCAGAAAGGACTTGAAAAATTACCTGAATTGAGGCAAAAACGAGAAGAAACCGCCTGAACCCGAAGTGAGCTGAAAGCAAAAGTGAATAAAAATGCCTGAAAATGAGAAATCGCACTGAAACCCCCAAGGTGAACTAAAAACTGCCTAAAACCACCCCGAAAAGAGCAAAAAAAGGGAGGTGGAACCACCAAAAAATGAGGGAAAACAGCACAGGAACGTGGAAGAAGAGGCTAAAAATGCCCCAAACTGAGCTAGAAGCACCCTGAAATGAGCTGAAATAGCCAAAAAATGGGCAAATAGGGATTTAAACACCCCAAAAGGGGCAAAAACACAGGAAAATGAGTAAAACACAATGAAACCACCTAAAAATGAGCAAAAAACCCGATGAAACCACCCAAAAACGAGAAAAAAAACCACATTGAAACCACCTGAAAATGAGAAAAAAACCCAATGAAAACAAGCAAAAAAATCTGTTGAAAATGGGCAAAAACAAGCAAAAAAATAACTGAAAACACCCAAAAAAACCTATTAAAAAACCCCAATGAAACCACCTGAAAATGAGCAAAAAAATCCCAATGAAACCACCCAAAAATGAGCAAAAAAAAACCACATTGAAAACAAGCAAAAAATACCATTGAAACCACCCCAAAAATAAAACAAAAACCCCAATGAAACCACCCAAAAATGAGCAAAAAAACCCACATTGAAAATAAGCAAAAAACCATTGAAACCACCCAAAAATGAGAAAAAATACCATTGAAACCACCCTAAAAATAAAACAAAAACCCCAATGAAACCACACAAAAATGAGCATAAAAAACCATTGAGACCACCTAAAAATGAGCAAAAATCATTGAAACCACCCAAAAATGAATAAAAACCCCCATTGGAACCACTGAAAAACAAGGAAAATCTGCTAAAACTCCTCAAAAATGAGCAAAAAATCCCATTAAAACCACCCAAAAATGAGCAAAAAAACCTCATTGAAACCCCCCACAAATTAACACAAAAAAACCCCCATTGGAACCACCCAAAAATTGAGAAAAAACCACATTGAAACCACCCAAAACTGAGCAAAAATCTGCTAAAACCCCCCCAAAACCAGCAGAAATCCCCATTCAAACCCAAAAATGAGCAATAAAAACCCATTGAAGCCACCGAAAATTAACACACAAAAAAAGATTGGAACCATTCAAAACTGAGAAAAAAATCCACTAAAACCCAAAAAAATTAGAAAAAAATCCCCATTAACACCCAAAAACGAGCAAAAATTGCAATTAAAACCCAAAAATTATCAAAAACCCCATTAATCCCCTCAAAAATGAGCAATAATCCACCAAAACCCCCAGAAATGAGCAATAATCCCTCAAAAAATGAGCAATAATCTGCTAAAACCCCCCAAAAAATGAGGAAAAAATCCCCATTAAACCCCAAAAAACGATCAAAAATCCACTAAAAGCCCCAAAACGAGCAGAAATCCCCCCAAAAATGGGAAAAAAATCCCCATTAAAACCCCCAAAAAACGAGCAAAAACCCGCATTAAAACCCCCGAAAAATGAGCAAATATCCCCATTAAACCCCAAAAAACCATCAAAAATCCACTAAAATCCCCAAAATGAGCAGAAATCCCCCCAAAAATGGGAAAAAATCCCCATTAAAACCCCCGAAAAATGAGCAAAAATCCCCATTAAAACCATCGAAAAATGAGCAAAAATCCCCATTAAAACCCCTGAAAAATGAGCAAAAATCCCCATTAAACCCCCAAAAAATGATCAAAAATCCCCAT